CCTCAGCCAGAAGAAGCGAATTCCTGGTCCGGCACCAGACCGAATTTGGGTGGTGAAGGTGGTGGTCTCCGCGCGAGCGTCCAGGTAAGGGATCGGAAGAGAAGATCTTAAGTGAGGAAGCGGGGGCGTGCGGTCTCCGGGCCTGTGCACCGCGGGATTGACGGGGGGTCGGGAACGAATGCACGCTCAGGGCCGGGTAGGGGCATCCTTACCCAATGTGAGGGCGGCGAGGGGCAGGAGGAAAAATGGTGTGAAATCCTTAAACGATGGTACTGGGCTGGGGCTTGTCACTTGCTCTGTGAAAGTCTACAGTCATCCCGAGACTGGACGTATTAGATGAGAGTTACAGCACAAGTTGACGGAGTGATTGAGGAAAGTTCTACAAAATAGAAGCATCACAGGCGGAGATTGGATGTGTCTTGTCTGTGCGATGGGGGTTGGTGGGGTTGGGAACTTTCTTAAACTTTAAGTATTTTAAGAAGGTTAACTCTGTTGTTTAGATAGATCCTGCCGTTGGGCCCTAGAAGTTGGGTTTAAAAGGGCAACTTCGAGGCAGGGCAAGACCAAATGAGGGAACTGGGGCATTCTGGTCTTAACTAAGGGAGAGGGTCCGACGTTGGCAGACAGTACTCAAGGTTTCTCAAAGAACCCACAAGTAATTAAATTTCTTTTTTTTCTGAGGACCTAGTCAGCCTGCTGCAGAGCAGGTTTCCAGTCCATCCGGTTGTCCAGGGAGGAGGAAAGCAAAAACAAATTCACTGTATCTCCTTCCCCCTCCTCTTTATTTTCTAGCTTCTGTTGAGTTGGCGGCAATTTGCCCATTTTCCTCCGTTGTGTACGGAGAGTAAACACTTGAATGTTAGTTAAAGCAGGTATCTGTATACTGAGTGAGAGTTTTAAAGACTTTAGTTAGCAGAGGCAGAAGAGACTTAGAACATTCTGTCAGAGGTGACTAAGTATGTGAAAGTGCAGTTCACAAAACTAGGTATCAAAGGAGGTGGAGGTACATGGGCCGGATCGTTAGGAGCAGTTGCTGAACTTTTGGACATGTTGAGTTTTATGTGCCTCTGAAGTGTCTTAACTTGGAGCTAGCCCGTACATTTGGAGGATTAGAACATGGAATTTAGAGGAGAAGGCTGGAAAGAGAGGCTGTGGATATTAGCAGATCTGTAAAAAGGAAATATTTAAGAACACCCAAGGTAACCTGGGATTACCAGATCACTACTAGAAGGAAGTAAGGAAAGCGTCATTGGAAAACTACAGCGTCAGTTGTCAAGTCTCCCTTTCTCAAAAGCTACACCACAGACAAACTAAATGGGAAAGTGCTGTATCCTTTCCCATGTCCTGGCTGAGTCTTTGGCACAGAGGCTCCCTCTACTGAAAACACCCTCTGTGTCCCCTGCCTCACTCTTTTTCTCTTTTAACCTGGTCCCCTCCCTTCCTGCTCCAGGGCCAGTTTAGGGCATATCTTTCTCTAGGAACTGTTTCAGGTCCTCTTTGTTCTCAAAACACTCTGTTTCCAGCCCTTTTACTGTACTTATCACATCCTTTTATGATAGGCTGGTTACTTCTTTGTATCCCTCACTAGAGTTTCTGTTTTGTAAAGTCAGGGGTGCAGGCAGGAGCTAGCACAGTGGCTGCAGCCCGCAGCACCAGTTAAGTCACTGAGCACCTGCAAATTCCAAGAGGGAAGGAAGGAAAGTTATTTCAATGAGAGAAGTATCAAATCTTGCAGGCTCGTTAAGTAAAATAAACTCGAAAACATGTTTAGTGGATTTGGCAGCTAGGTGATCCTTAGTGATTTTAAAAAGTAAGTTCACTGCAGTGACGAGAATAGGAAGCTGATTGTAGTTGCTAGAAAATGTGAAAAGGAAGACAGCCTGGCTTTTAGGAGCCTTGGGTAATCTGTAGGAATTATCCTTCTCTTCCTGTAATATTTATTGTGTGCATGATTATTTATGATTAAGTAGAGCGTAATGGATGATAGCATAGGGTTCCCCACTTAGCATTTTTCTACTTTGGGAAAGTTGCATGATCTTTCTAAACCTGGATTTTCCATTTAGAAAATGGGGACAATAAAGGTACCTACCTCATGAAAGTGTGTGGTAAGGATTAGAGCCTATAAAATATAGAGAGCATGTGGCACACTTAGGATACACTTCCTGGCACACAGAACATGCTCAGTCATTGTTAGCTTAGAATTACTGTGTGTCAGGTCCTGTGCTAAGTGCTTCATATGCATTCTTTCTTGGACTCATTGGAAGAACTATTGTGTTTTTGTTTTTCTTCTTTTCAGCTTTATTGAGGTATAATTGACAGATAAACTTAGAAGATATTTAAAGTATACCTTGTGATGATTCGACATTGGGAAAAGATCTCCACTGTCTAGTTACCATTGCTCGGAGAAGTTACATAACTTGCTCAAAGTCACACAGCTAATAAGTGGTGTTGCTTCAACAGTGTCAGATTTGTTAATCATCTCATGAAAAGTAAGGATTGGAATGACTTATTTTGCAATTTAGAAGATCTTTGAAGATATCTCGGTGTGAATGGGGAGCAAGCTAGATCTCACGCAGTCTAGTGAGCTGTGTGTGAGTCAGCGGTCAGAGGCTTTATATTGGTCTCTGAAAAAGAAGTTGGTTGGCTCAAAGAAAGAAAAATGGTACAGTGGCTTGAGGGAGAGGTGACAGAGATAGGAAAGCTTTCCTCAAGAAAGGGAGGCTAGACTATGTTTTTAAACTTAAGTGGAGATAGACTTCAGTGAAGAGAGAAAGAGAAATGATGAGGAAGGTAAAGGGAGTGATGGACAAGTTGTTGATGAGCTAAGATACAAACACAAGCCTGGTCCGTCTTAGAGGAGAGGGTAAGTGAGCTGAGAGAAGTTTTGAGGTTGGGATGGCACAGGACACAATGTGATAGTCTCCCCGGGCTAAGTCAAAGTCACTTGAGAATTAGATAAAAGAAGAAGGAGGATGCAAAGTAAATTCAGAGACCTAAGGAAGTTGGCTCAGCTTCCCAGTATCCTCTATGAAGAATGGGGTAAGAGGTAAATTGGGGTGGAGGGAGAATTTTAAACACTATTAAGATTGAGCCTGAGGCTTCAGATATTTTTAGAGTGGTCCATCCATCATAATTCTTAGGTTAGGAACAGCAGTGAACATTTTTAGGAGAGTTATATTCTTTCTAAGTTTCTCTATTTTTTGACTTGATAACCTATTAAGCTTATTTATTATATAAGTAAAACATGCTCATGAAAAGAAAATTGTAAGTAGGCATACAATCGGTAAAATTTTTTCCTCTCCTTCCTAACAACCCTGCGCTGTGTAACCCATTACGTCTTGATCCCTTTTCCTAAAGGTCACCACTCTAAATTGTTCTGTGTTTCCTCCCATACACTTTCAGTGTGTGTGTGCGCACGCGCACGTGTGTGTTTATATGTACATATATGTGCATCAAGGTGCATAGAAAAATACATACCTTACAAAAACAAAAGTGGGCTCTTGCTATACATGTTGTGTAACTTGCTGTTTCACTTAACACTGAATCTTAGCCATCTTTTTGTGTAGAGCATACAGATCTTTCTTAAGTGGCTGTATAATTGTCTATGGAAAGACTTAGAATTTAATAACTTTTTTTGCTGGATCTATTTTTATTTTGTTTCTTTTCTCTTTGTTTTTGCTTTTATAATCAATGTTTCTTTTCCATTTTAGCATACCTATCTTTGTACATTTGAGTGAGAAAATTGCTGGGTCAAATGGTGTAGTCATTTTGAATCGTGAAAGATAACTGACTTTTTTTTTCCTCAAAGACATACTAAACCCCACCCTCACCTGCCACCTCAGCCCCCCCACATACTTTCTACCCCATCAACAATGTAATGATGCCTGTTTCCCCAAGTTATTACCCTTACCAATACTGGGTGCTGAGCACTATGAAATGCAAAGATTTTTGTTTTAGATTCATTAACTTATTTGAGTCAAATTAAACTGCTTATTTGTTTAGTGAGCATTTGTGTTTATTTTTCTGAGAACCAAGTGTGAATGGCCTTTGTCATTTTACTGTTGGGTTTTTAGGCTTTTCCTGAAGCACGCTTTGTAGCTCTTTGTCGTAGGTGTGATCTTTTGACTTTATTATCTTTTTCTTTCCCAATCAGAAGTATTTAATTTTTATGCAGTCATATTTGCCAGGCATTTTCTTTATAGGTTCTTTTGGTGTTTAGTGACTTTTTAAAAAAGATTGTATTTATTCTTAGAGAGAGGGGAAGGGAGGAAGAGTGGGAGAGAAACATGGATGTGTGAGAGGAACATTGATCAGCTGTCTTTCATATGACAAGTCCACAACCCAGGCATGTTCCATGCCCCAGCTGGTAATGGAACTGGCTTTGCAGGCTGACACTCAACCGAGCCACACCCGCTAGGGCTTAAGTGACACTTAAACTCCAATATTGCTCATTGACATTACAAGTTTTTCTATGGAGACCATACTAAAAAGTCTCTTTAAGGATAGCTTGAAATTCTTAATCCACTGTTGGATCTTTTTGATCCTGCTCTTGGGGGTTATCCTGTGGCTTTCATATTTTTTTAAATTGTAAAAATAGTTTATTATATATATTTAGTAAAAGGTGAAAAGATTCCTGCAATCTGAAGAGAAACTGGAGTATATAACATGTACCTTTTGATCAGTATCTACAAATGGAGGTGGTGATGACAGCCAGAAGACTCTTGGTTTTTTTAACTGCATGTTTAGGACCTGAGAAATTGGTGCTGCTTTAGTAATTGTTATTTTTTAAATGATCAAAGATACACTTTTAAAACTCCTTTCTTGGAATTTCATTGTTTCGCTTGCATTCTTATGTATGTATGTATGTATTTATGTTTACAGAATTATAAGGCCGTGTGCAGAGATTTGAAAAATGGCGGCAAATGAAAGTGTCAGCATCTTTAGTTCAGCGTCCTTGGCTGTGGAGTATGTAGATTCACTTTTACCTGAGAATCCTCTGCAAGAACCAATTAAAAATGCTTGGAACTTTATGTTGGACAATTATACAAAGTTCCAGATTGCAACATGGGGATCCCTGATAGTTCATGAGGCCCTTTATTTCTTGTTCTGTTTACCTGGGTTTTTGTTTCAATTTATACCTTACATGAAAAAGTACAAAATTCAAAAGGTGAGTATGATGGACTCACAATGGAATGTTATCATTAGTGTTGCATATTTTTAAAGTAATTGTGACTTTGTTTTGCGAGACCCTAGATCAAGGCTATCAACAGAGATATAATTCAGCCACATATGTCATTTTAAATTTTCTAGTAGAATATGTAAAAAAGGTAAAAAGAAATAGGAAAATCAATTTTAAAATACATTTCATTTAATACAGCAATCTAAACGATTATCATTTCAACAAGTAATCAGAATTAAAAACATACTTAACGAGGTATGTTCTAATTCTCATCACTAGTCTTGAAATCCAGCGTGTATTCCACACTAACTTTAGCCCAACTTGCTTCAGCCATATTTAAAGTGCTCAGTAGTCACTTGATGCTAATTGCTACTGCACTGGACAGTGCAGCGTTAGATCATTATTGATACTGTTTCAAGAATAATCTGTTAAGTTGCGCTTCAAGTAGATGTGACATCCACTAGTGAGCTTGAGAGTTGCCAGGAAAAATCTAGACTAACTTTTATCAGCACTTGGTGAACCCATGATAGTTTCTAATGCTTACTGCTTACCTTTCTAAAAAGTCATGCCAAACTGAGCTGAAGGGCACACACAGCCTTGGTAGAAAGTAGACATCTTGAGAGTGTTCATCTACGGAGACTAATTTGCACTCACTAAGTCTACGGCGGGTGGCAGTGCATGCATTCTCTCTGTCTCTCAGCATCGTTGCCTCTTCCAGGGAGTGTCGCTTTAAGCCAGTCCAGATAGTGATATTCTCCAGGGATAGCGCAGGGGGCCAGGTGCCTGTGGACTCCAAGCCAGAGGAGGGAAGAACAAAGGCCAAGAGGGATGGGAATAGGAAGGGATGTGGCCCAAAAGAGAGTATCCTGTAACCCTCTTTGAGGACGCAGAATTGAGGACAGGACACAGAAGTTCCAAAATGTTTTTTATGCAAGGGCCTGCCTTGAAAGGCAGTGTGGGGGTGAATCCGGCGGCCCATTGATTTGCTTATGTGGCTGCTTCATTGTGTGGCTGGCCAGGCCACAGTGTCATTGTCCTCTGCTCTCCATAGTTGAATCATTGGTCAGAGGTGTTAACCTTTCCAAAGAAAGGAGGACCTTTTTCAGTCAATGTTTTATGACTGGCTTGAAAATGGAGTGTAGGAAAAGGACAAGCAATCATGTGTTTGGTTGCTGGTAGTTATTTGTAAACAGACATTAAAAGGATGGGTAGTGTGGCTTCAGGTCTGTCCTCAGCATGTCTTTCTTTGAATTTCAGAACCATTACAGGTTTTGCTTTGAGCTTTTTTGATACTAAAGTAAATTGCGATGCTAAATCAGTACAAGTTTTCACAATATAGGGGGATTAAAAATCATTGCAAGTTAATTATAGGTTAATGAATTTTGAAGGCGGATAACCCTGAAACCCTGAAACATTGCGAGCACAGAAAGAAGTTGCTGTTGGTGATGAAATAGCAATTAAGACTTTCTGTTTTCAAAGAGAATAGACAGGTGTTGTATGAAAGGAGAGAAGGTTAGCACTCCCCTTGACAAGGATGGAAGAGGCCCTTGGGCCTAACAACACGCATACGGTTAAGGCATTGCCACCTACTTCAAAGAGAATAGACAGTGTGACAATTAATGCACATACATGCTAATGAGAAAATTTACAGGAATAAGTAGTAAAGTAGATCTTGTAGGATCTATTTCTTTTTACAAAGTCACACATTTTAATAATTCTGGGAATTTTCTTTGAGGAGACTCTCTCTCTCTCTCTCTCTCTCTCTCTCTCTATTCTTTTTGAGGTCCATGGCCGAATAATGATTCTGGGAATTTTGTTTGAGGACAGAGAGAGAGAGAGAGAGAGAGAGAGAGAGAGAGACACACACACACACACACACACACACACTATTTTTGAGGTCCATGGCCGAATAATGATATTCCTTCATATTAGGATGCAGTTATCAATAAAATATGGTAAACTGATAATGATTCTGGGAATTTTCTTTGAGGAGACACACACACACACACACAAAATATGGTAAACTGATAATGATTCTGGGAATTTTCTTTGAGGAGACACACACACACACACACACAAAATATGGTAAACTGATAATGATTCTGGGAATTTTCTTTGAGGAGACATACACACACACACACACACACACACAAAATATGGTAAACTGATAATGATTCTGGGAATTTTCTTTGAGGAGACACACACACACACACACACACACACACTATTCTTTTTGAGGTCCATGGCCGAATAATGATATTCCTTCCTATTAGTATGCAGTTATCAATAAAATATGGTAAACTGATAATCCACTAGGTATGAGTTTTTTGTTGTTAACTATCTTTTAAACTAATTTGTATATACTTTAAACAGTATAGCATGTGATTTTCTTATAGTTGATGAATTTTTGTGGTAATTTCTGCACTACATAGGTATCAGGATAGGTAGCCAGGATATTAAAAGTCTATCAAACAGTTCCTACCGGAAACAGTGCCATTGCCAGCCCAAGCCAGAATCTTCATTCCTTTTGTCCACAGTCACAGACTGGAGATTTGGAGGAGTAGGGTGATAATGCTCAGAAAAGAAATAGAAAGACATTTATAAATTATCTGATTTCCTCATTTTATTGTTGAGATAACTGACTTGTGTCGCAGAGCTAGTTAACTGGTTAGTGGTGGTCCTGAGATTAGAGACCACCCAGCTCTCTGGATTGATTCTCAGTTTAATGCCCCCCTCTTTTTTTTCCATAGGAAAAGTAACTCAAAAATTTTCAAGAGCAGAACTGGAAACCTAGATTCCAGTTAGTCCCAGTTCTGCTAATAACTGCCTGTGTGGTCTTGGGCAAGGTGGTGGGCCTCCTTGGCTTCTGCTGAACAGTAGTTCCCATACTTGAGAGAATTGTAGTTCAGTTGAAAAAAACTTCATTGGCAGATTTCAGAATTTTTATATAGGGACATTTAAAACAAAGCAGTAATTATTTACTGTCATCATCTTTTTATAAAGCCAAAATTACTTTTTCTTTTGTAAGTGTAGTCCTTTCAATTGAATAAATTTAGTTTGTTTTTTCTAACTTGACCTGCTAAGCAAGCTGGAGTCCCAATGAGATTTAAATAAACATTTTACTACATTGATCTCACTTCACTCATTTTGCTATTAATCTTTGAACTTCACCTGTGGGCAGTAGCTCTCCATTCTTTGGGAACCACTGGCCACATCTCTGAAGTTCTTCCAGCTCAGAGAGTTTATAATTCTGCTATTGTATATGAACAAAAGTGTACTAATTTCTAGGAGTGCATACTGCCAAATGTCTGGAAGCATCAATATACCTATGTAGTAAAGGCTTTCAGTGCTGCTGACAGAACTGCTTCAATAGCTGGGAGACACAATCGTAATCTTCGCCATAACACATTTCTTCTCTGACCTTCCGGATAAAAGAAGCGAATGATCTGTGAGCAGCAAAGACCAGGGAGGTACTCATTCTGTGCTGCTTCTTTGGTTTGAGTCTTATATTTGTTAAGCCTGGGTTTGTCTATTAACAATTTCTTCACATAAATTAGTGTTGGTAGTTGTCAGGAATTTAGAAGGGAGAATGTTGCGATTCCTGGGCTTTATTTACTGTAACATAGTAACTGTAATATAGAATTCACAAAACAATTACTTAAATAACAGAATTAAGGTCTCATTAAACATTAGAGAAAACTTTAGGAATTTACTTCTGGATGTCAGGCTACTGATAACAGAGACTAATACTAAATATTTGTGTTTTTTCTCTGTAGGATAAACCAGAAACATGGGAAAACCAATGGAAATGCTTTAAAGTACTTCTCTTTAATCATTTTTGTATCCAGCTTCCTTTGATTTGTGGAACTTACTATTTTACAGAGTATTTCAATATTCCTTATGGTTGGGAAAGTATGCCAAGATGGTATGTAGAGACAAATAAATCTTTAATGAAGATTTGATTTTTATAGTCAGTCATGGTTTGCTATCCAATTAAAATATCCTTAATGCTTATCTTTTTTATTTGTTAATGTTTCTTTGTTCTAAACTTTGTAAGTAAATACAATGTAGAAAAGTAAAACCATGGTAGAAACTTAAAACATTCCCATTTTTAGATCTTTCCTTAGTTTAGTGTAATACTTTATTGGAAGGTGCTTGTACTAACAAAAAAAAATTATATTTTTTGTTTAAAATTAATGAAAACAATGAGAATAGTTTGTGAGATTTATAAAAATTGTGTCCATATAGACACATACATTATCTGAGCGCAGGTATTTGTGTTCCAATAATATTTGTATTTGAGTGTATGTTTCTGACATGACTAAATACAAATATACCAATATATAAATATGTACTTTTTCTGTATAACATATATTCAACATATAAAAGAGTTTCTGTATATGTGTTTATTTGTATATAGAATACTTTTGTCCATTGTACTTGTGGTTTTCTTTTTGCTGAAAAAATAGTGATGATTTTATTATTATTATTATTATTAATATTATTTCAAGTTCTTCATCAATATTACTCTTTTCCTTGAGGTTTTGAATTTTGTTTCTTAACTTTGATTTTATACCTGTGAGTTAAAAAAAAAAATGAGTTAGAATTGATACAGGGGTCAATCTGTTCAGCTCTTTTTTGGGATGGGATCATGTAGCTGCCTCATATCTAGCAGTTTTGAGAATTTATTGATCAATATATACAGTTAGATCAAGCTTCTGGGTATTTGGTTCTATGTAATGTCCCAAGCAGTGGCCCCAAGTAAAAGTCTAGATTGCACTTTATACTTATGACAGTATTTTCATCTTAAAGGTATATGCTTTTGGCAAGATGCTTTGGTTGTGCGGTAATTGAGGATACCTGGCACTACTTCCTACATAGGCTCTTACACCACAAGAAAATATATAAATATATTCATAAAGTTCATCATGAGTTTCAGGTATGTTAGAATTATATTTAATACTTTTTCTATTAGAGGCAAAATGTCATATTTAATCTCCTGAGTATTTAAAAAAATTGTTGATGTTTATTTCTTTTTCCTTCTGCATGATTACTAAGAATGTTTCTCATACACCTACAGAAATAGCTGGTTCTACAGATTTTCTTTTCTTTTTTTAAATTATTCATTTGCGAGAGAGAGAGAGACATCAATTTGTTGTTCCACCTATTTATGCATTGATTGGTTGATTCTATGTCCCCTGACCAGGGATCAAACCTACAACCTTGGCTTATTGGGATGATGTCCTAACCAACTGAGCTACCTGGCCAGTGCTATAGATTTCCTTTAGTATTTTATTTTCATGGTAAATTGAGACCTGAAAGAAAAATGTCACATGATATAGTTCAGACTCTCATCTTTGTGGCCAGAGCACTACCCTGACACCGTTGATTACCCGCAGTTTAGTAGAAGCTATAATGTCTTGGGGTTTTGAAAATGGGACCCCCGAAACAACAAACCTCTAATCTTTAGACTTCTAAAACAATGACCAACTTAGTTTTCACATTTTCACCACATTGCTGACTCCCACAAAAAGCCATTTAAGAATGTTTTTTTCCAATTACAGTTTACGTTCAGTCTTACTTTGTACTAGTTTCAGGTGTACAGCGTAGGGGTTAAACAGTCATACTGGACAAAGTGCTCCCCCTGCTATTTTCAGTACCCAGCTGGCACCATACGCAGTTACGGTGTCACTGACTGTGTTCCCTCTGCTGTACTTCATCTCCCCATGATTGTCCCGCCCCATCCCTTCATCTTTTTCACCCGGTCCCCAACCCCCTTCCCCTCTGGCAGCCAGCAGTCTGTTCTCTGTATTTATGAGTCTTGAAAACAGCGACTTTTTATCAGAACTGCTTTTGATGTAGATTTGTCAAACTGATTGTGTTGTGTTCTGCCTTGATCCCGATTACATGGTATGTTAAATCAAGCATCCCCTTTCTTGGCAGAACAAATTCAGATGCATAAACCCAAATTAGAGTTCAAGTCAGCTTAATGCCTTTATCTTAAACTATCGAAGACATTGAGATATTAAGTACATCCCTACTAGACCTTTTGATGTTAGGTAGGAACAAAAAGATTTTTTCATTGAGTATTTTATTCTTTACATATGTATGACTACATTCTTACATATAGAAACAATATAATTTTACAAACTGTATTCATAAATTAATTAGTATATATATATTATGGTTCTCCGGAGAAAAAGAAAGAACAGAGGATACACATGCACACACAGATTTATTTTAAGGAATTGGGTCATACGGTTGCGGGGGTTGGCAAAGCTGAAATCTGTAGGGAGACCGTAGGCTGGAAATGGAGGTGGACTGATGTAATAATCTTAGGTCTGAATCCCACAGGGCAGCAGGCTGGAGACTCAGGCAGGATTTCTGTGTTGCAGCCTTTGAGAACTCCTCCCTTAGCAAACCTTAGTCTTTGCTTTTAAGGCCTTCAACTGATTGGGTGAAGCCCAGCAGCATTACAGTGGGTAATCTCCTGTACTCTGAGTCTACTGATTTAAATGTTAGCCACATCTAAAAAATACCTTCACAGCAGCATCCAGATTGACTTCCCAAGCAGCTGGGCACTAGACCTATCCAAGCTGATGCATAAAATTAAGCATCACAATATATTAAGGAATTCTTACCTGTTTCTTTTAGGCTCCATTTGGAATGGAAGCTGAATATGCACATCCCCTGGAAACTCTAATTCTTGGAACTGGATTTTTCATTGGAATCATTCTTTTATGCGATCATGTAGTTCTTCTTTGGGCGTGGGTGACCATTCGTTTGCTAGAAACTATTGACGTCCACAGGTGAGTGACGGTTTCTGTCCCGGCATGAGGCGTTATCAAATGTCTTTACTTTCATGCTCATAAAATTATATATAAGTAGACGAATAGGAGAAGTTAAATTTGTTAATATTGTTATTTTTGAGAAAACAAGAGAGCATAACCATTGGATGGAAGTTCAAATAACAGAGACTTTTTGTATATCCCCTTAGTCTGTGGCTATGTCATTCTAACAGGGAGAAGGAGTTCTTTTGGTTAAATGAAATAAAATTTTGATAGGTACTTCAAAACTGCCCTCCAAAGTGGTCCCTGTTCATATTCCCAGCAGAGCTATGTAAGAATGCTTTCCCGCCCCAATATCCTTCCAAACCTGGGTAGTACCGTCCTTTTCGTCTTTGTCAATAAGAGGACACAGAGTTTTCAGTGCTGTATCCATGCACACTTCCCCAGGGACCCGTGAGGCTGTTTGTGCACTTATTATCAATAGTATTTTTTCTTCTTTGAATTATCTTTTTATGTCCTTTGCCCATTTTTCTGTTAGGTTATGTGTCTTAAAACCTATTGGTTTGCGTAAGCTTTGTTTGTTACATGTGTTCTAAATATTTTCTATCCGTCTGTCATTTGAATTTTAACTCTTGATTCTTTTCTAGTACTGAAGTTTTTAATTTCCCCATAGTAAAATCAGTCATTTCCCACAGTTAAATTGGCTCTTCGGTTTCATGTCTTGCTTTGGTCTTCCTGAAACACTCTTCAAAAGAAACTATTTGTGTAATTTTTGTAAAGATTTGGTTAAATACCATAATTCAGGATTCACAATTCCTTTATCCTTCCCTAATGAATCTAAGCCTAACTCTTGAAAAAAAAATTGGATCAGTTAGTCTTCCCTGTATAAGAGTATTTATTGTCTCATTGCCCAGTACTGATAAAATCACTACTGGTAACATTTACACATTTCACCTGCTTCTTTTCTGTTGCTTGGAAGATATTTTGTGGTAAATCATTTATGTGTAATGCTTTTTAAAATACCTAACATCCTAATTTTTCATTATTTTAAAATTATATACTCATTGCATTTTTGATTTGAGACTTATTACTATACATCTCATGAAAGCAGAATATTTAATTTTAAGAATTATTTTTAAATCACAGAAGTAGCATAACAAATCTTCTAATTCTAGGCAGAGACTGTTCTTCTATAGATAAACTGTAAGTGCTGCCTCTTTCATTCTTTCTTTCCTCTCACTGTTCTTTCCTTTTTCCTTCCCTCTCAGCCTTCTGAAGGGAGGGAGAGATTGGGGTGATTTAGAGTCGTGTATATTTGGCTGTCAAATTTTAGATATGTATTAGAAATAAACAAAATAATACCTAAATGGTATTCTTTTTAAAATTGTGTGTTCGTCCAGCTATAGAAAGCACACTCATACTTTAATTAATTGTGGTGCATTTAATTCCAACTTGTCATTGACTAAAATAAAAGAAGTTTGCTTAGTAATTGTCAGGTCTGACCTTCCTAATGCTTGATACTAGTTTCATGTAACTTTTTCTCAAAGACATACATGGTATTATAGGCATTAAAGGCTATGGTGAAAAAGCTCCTCCTCTGAAACAAAAGAGAAATAAGTCATGAAGAATCTATTCATTACTATAATCCCTCTTTTTCATTCCCTGATAATATAATATATAATTTCCATAGATTTTTTTTTAAATTTCTTAAGTGGTTTCTATAATATGCACTATTTTCTGTTAAGTTTTTGTCTTTTGTAAGCAGATCAGAAATAAAGTGACTTAGGTAAAGTGGAATGGTTGAATTAGTTAACAGACATGACTATCAGTGAAAATGTTGATTATTTCCTCATAATCTTTGTTATTTTTATTTCAGTGGTTATGATATTCCTCTGAACCCTTTAAATCTCATCCCTTTCTACGCGGGTTCTCGGCATCATGATTTTCACCACATGAACTTCGTTGGAAACTATGCTTCAACATTTACATGGTGGGATAGAATTTTTGGAACAGACTCTCAATTTATTGCCTATACTGAAAGGAAGAAGAAGATTGAGAAAAAGACCGAATAAATATTTATATAACACTTCCTGATTTAAAGCTAGCAGCTAACATTTCTTCTGAGGAGCAGAAATTAAGCATACGTCTTGTCTGCTGAGTGATAAAAATTAACGACCTTTATCTTCCTAGTGGGAACTTTTCCTACTTTCTATTCAAGTTCTGTCTGTGTAGAAATAAGTGAGGAAGTCTCAAACACCATGTTGCTAACTTTACAAAAAGGTTTTAAGTATTAGAAGGTCTATGTCTTTTCCCGCCAGTAACACCATAGGCCTGAAATTGATGTTGGTCTTTAAATCTTTTGAATATACAGTGACCATATCAAAAACTCTTTAATAGTGGATGTTGGGCTCGTATTGAACTTTAAACAGTTTTTAGAGTTTGCCTAAACATCAAAATATCATGAGGTGAATGACATCGACTGATACAGTGTGGATGAGGCTGCAAACTCAGGACCAGCCAGCACCATGAACTTCCACTCTGGTCTGGAGCTGACCTGTTCGGGGTGATTTTTCTGTTTTTGAGAAGTCCCTTTGCGTTCCAATGTACTATTGGCATCTAGGTATTTCTGAATTGATAGAAATGGAATATTTTAGTCTAATAAAAGTTTTCATGTTTCTTGAATTTTTTAAAAAATGAAGCTTTATTTCTGCCATTTACCCTCTAATTTGTGAAAATCAGGTCTTTATTATACTTAAAGTTGTATCTCGAAACTTTGTGAACTGATTTGTATTTGCACTTTGAGCTATTAAAATAAACGTGGTTTATTTTGTCTGATTACCTGGTTTCCAGTTTTCAACATCAGCTGTCACTTTTTATTTTATTCTTGTAAGGAAAAGTAGAGATATTGTTAAATTATTAAGTTTTGTAATAAAAGGAATGATTTTATTTTTTGTAAGTGCTTCATTTGCTTTTTTTTTTTTTTTTTTTTTTTTTTACAAAACATGTATTTACTAGCTTGTCTATTGTGGGAGATTCCATTGATCTGTTTCAATAAAGGGTATTGAAGCAGCTCTTTTCTCTACTTAGGAAATGTATGGAAGAATAAAGCTAAACTTTTTAGGGCTGATTTACTCTCAAATACTTGGATTCTAACTCAGATCAAGAATTGATAATTCTAACATACTGAATTGTTACTGTTTTAAAGTATGGGGCCATTTTCTGATGGGTTTCCCTTTTTTTGAAAAAGAAGCAAAATAGTTCTGTCAAGAGGTAACTGAATCTTAATAGAGAGGAGGAGATATTTAATCAAGTGGGTACTAGCTTTAAAAGGATTTTGAAGTTTCGAAGTTCAAATGAATTGCATTACTGAGGAAGAAAAGAATTTGCAAATATGACTGTGAAACTATTTTAGATGATCAGGCAGTAAGTCAGTCATTTCAGACTTGGTCTTTTCTGTAGGGTGGATTCAGGTTCACTTTCTCTGGAGAACAGCCTTCTATCTCTGGGGAAGAATATGCCCACATGCTATCATTCTGGGAATCAAGTATGGAAAGGCAGCTTAAGATTCCCCTGTGGAGTAGGTCCCTTTCCACAGAATCCCTCCTTTCACGTTTATGCCCGCCTCACCCCGGGCCTCCCCAGTATCTGCAGAGTCCTGAGCCTCTTCTGTTCAATTTCTGTTAAATGTCTCTAAGCAACAAACCTGCCATGGCAGAGGTGACCATGCTGATTCGGGGAAGAGACCTGTGACCTAAAGACTGTACACAGAGTTTTGGATGAGATTGCTTGCAATGTTGGTTTTCAGTATTTTGCAATACAGTCTTAGAAATTTTTCATTGGGTGCATTTGACAAACAGAAAAGCACACAAGTTGATAAGAGATCACAATCGTGTAATTATTATCCAGATCAAAAATTTGACTACCTCCACTTTTGGAATGAGATTTTTAGCAGTTTAACAACTGAATCCAGATGATCTTGACTAATGAGCTTCTCATGTCCTGATATGAGGCTTTGCCTGTGGCTGCAGTTAAACCTATTACAGATCTGAATAATTAAGGCAAAGGAAAAAAGCTAACACTTTGTTCTGCATGACATAATCCAGATTCAACAAAATTTTTGTCTTCATTTAAAGTTCAGCTGTGCAAATGGAGGATGACAGGATCAAAAGGAATATATGTCTGAAAAACTGAAGAATACCCAAAAGTTTAGACAATCTTAAACTGAATTATTGGCAAGCCTAAATTGTAGAGAAGTTAGTGGTCTCATTTCACTCTGCTTTGGTTAGCTGCACATGGAAAAGCATATTATGTTTACTGTGTCCTATTTTGACTAATATTTAAAACAGTAACCAGGAATGGTTTAAAGTCTAGCAGTGACTTATTAAAAAGTTAAAATACAGAGGTGTAGTGTAGAGCAGCTCTATAAATATAGTAACTGGCTACATGTAGGACTTGACTATCTTTTGGGGAAATATATTTCAACCCTTAAGAAGGAGTATGGAGTTTTTATTTTTATTTTAAATGGAAGACCAGGATGCTAGAATCTTGGTTACTTTAAAAAACTCACCACATTCCTTAAGACCTGGAGAAACGTTAAGATTGTTATTGAGAGAAGATACTTTTCTACCTTCTGTTAGCTTGAATACTTGGGTGGAAGAGGTGGAGGTTTTCCAGAGCTGTTGAAATTTCAGAATGCTTCTGTGTTCTCAGTGACCTGAAAAGTCATTAAATTTAATCATCTACCTAGACTTGAATCTCCTTTCTGTAACACGTGAAAAGGGGCTTCGAGCTGAGACCACTGGAGAGCAAGAACATCATACAGCAGTAGGAATTGCCAACCCATGACGTACGTTCTGCTTAAAGCGGTGAGGCCCAAGGAAAAAGCACAGGAAAGAACTACATAGACTTCGATTTGGAGCCAGATTGTGCTGTTTATTGTGTGGCCTGTGTGACCTTGGACAGATTGCTTCACTGAGTCTGTTTTCTTGTCTGTAAAATGGGAGAGTATTAATGTTTACCTTGGAGGGTTTCAAGGTTTCAAGGATTAAACACAGCTATAAAAAACCAGGCAAAGTGCCTAACACAATAGAAACAGCAATAAAAAGCTGCAAGTTAAAGAAAACAACTTTGATTTTTCTGAATTTATTGACTAATATTTTATCAAATGGACCATTAAGAAAATGGAAAGTTTGAAATCAATATTAATCCATTTCATCGGAAGCTGATTTTTCCATGTGCATACCAATGATACACACAGCTTTTATAAATATTTTTCTGTAAGATGTGGTGCGTAGAGATAATAAAAAATTGATATAAATACCAGATGCACATTTAAACTTAAAATAGCTGTTAGTTCACAGTAGTGTAACTTAGCAGATCTATTTAAAACAAAAACTTAAGAATTTTTTCAGTTTGATTAGAAATTTTACATTGAAATGGTGTTTATCAGTCATTTTATCAGTTTTTTTAAAAAATGTAGTCCAAATGAATCATGTTTTATTTTGCAGCGTCTCGTATAGCATCTCTCAAAGTGATTTTCCTGCTCTGAGAAGTGCTCTGCTGGGTTGAAAGCATAGAACAACGCCGGAACAAGAAAGTCCAGGTGGCTCTCGCTCCAGACAATTTAGTTTACCAAAGTGAATGGTCTCTTTAAATTATGTTAATTATATTCCACTTTATATTTATCATTTAGTCCAAGGGTAACCTCTAGACACCCATTAGTTTACTGCACTATGCTTGCATATTAGGTAGAATTTCTTACATAAAACTGTGCGGATTGACTCCTTTTTAGTTTTTAAAGCATTAATTCAGTGCAGTAACAGCAAGTAACAAGATGGCAACAGCATTTTGAGACTCCACTGTTGAGAAGTACTCCCTTTCAATATGGCGGCCTGTGAGCTCTACTGCTTCAATTGTTTACAGCCTGAACAGTCCCAGACTGAGAACTTGGCAAAGATTAAGATTTAATTCTGGCCAAGGGATGGTTGAGGAAAGAGGTTCTTTTCCAAAGCAAGGAGCAAGACAGAAATATGTCACAAGAAAAATCTTGACCTTTACTTATATAATGCACATTATTTAAAAGCACAACTCCAGTGTAAGAAGTACATTAAGAAGTCTATAAAGTCTGAATTTTTCTTAGAGTTTGAATATCTTACTGCTTGGTGACATAATGTATCCTTTAAGTTACCAAGTCTTTATAGATATAGTTTCTAGTCTTTATAGATGTCCTGTTTGAAGTTCTACTTATTCTTGACTTTTAGATCTCAAATTTTAGGTGTAATCTACCATAATATCCTATTTTCTTATCTCCAGTGATTAGTCTGAGAATAGGCTCCTGACCCAGGTCTGCCAGTCTGATCCCAAAATCTTTGGGATTTTATGTGTGAACATTGAGAAAGATGCTGAATCTGTCTACAGAAAACACTGTAAATGTTCCTCTCACTGAAAGAATGAGGCTAACGCAGAGGTTGAGGCAAGAAGGTAACCTAGAGATGGATGACTAGATAGATGGAGATTCCTAATGCTGGCGGAATCCTGGGAAGAATTAGGAAAAAGGCTACGAGCTCTCTTTATGTGAATTAATGTGTCCTTCCTCCCTTTTCTTTCTTCCTATTATACCATTTTGAATTCAATTTATTTTAGTTGCAACAAAACAAATCCTGACTAGTTCATATACTCTACTTTGGACTTCAAAGCTAGTAGAGCTATATTCCAGGTTTCCTTCGATTAAAGATTCATTTCCATGTGAACTGACAGAAATAGGTGGTGGTGATGGGTTCTTCTCAAGCTCAGAACAATGCTTCTCTCAGATCTGCGCACGTTCATAACCATGAGCTCTTCCCTGTAGTTACGAAGTGGTTGCAGCTGAATGAATGTAGATTTTGAGCAAGTGATTTTGAAATTGTTGAAGCTTGATTTAAATGGTGGAGTATCAGATGTCAACTGAGGAGCATAGCTTGACCTCTTTAAGAATTAGTATATTCATTCAGTCAATAAATATTTAACTAGTTCAATTGTGTACAAACTCGGTCAGCTAGGCTCTGCTAGCATACACTAGGGGGCATGAGAGACATGATTTCTGCCCTCAGAATGTACAGTATACTGGAGATTATGGTCGATTAAATAAGTAGTTAATAAAAAGCTCCGAGAAGAGACAGAGGCACAAGGGAGGTTAAGATCACATAGCCGCAGGATATTTCTTGCTTGAGGGAGGCTGTTAGGGAAGGTTCTTGTAGGAAGTTATGTTAAATCTGAGACCTTGACCGTAGTAAGAGAGTATGGAATAACTCCATACTGCAAGAATGGAAGCCATGGGGTGAGAACGGGAGGAGCTGGAGGAATAAAGCTAGCTCCTGCCATGCTTTGGAGTGTGTTTCTGAAGCATTTTAGACGAGGGAGAGTGTACTTGAGAGGCTAGCAGAGGTGGAAGAATGGAGGATGATGGGAATTTGTGGCTTATTTTTCATCAAAGCACCTGTGATTAACTCTCACTTGCTCTCTAGTTCCCCTCCTGGGTAATCCCATCGCTTCAAGCTACCCCTTGAGCCTCTTTTTCATGCAGTCCTGTTGCCCAGGCCCCTGTTGGCTGTCCAGCTGAGCACGGATTAGTCATAGACATCCAGGGATTGATGAATTCAATGGCTAATGAAATACCAGAGGTGTTGGGAGACAGGCTGAACAAAATAAGAAGATAAGAATCTAGTTCTTAGGAAGAGGTGAAACTAAATAAGAGATGGTATTTGGGCTGTTGGGGTTTCTGTAAGGGTTAAATACAGGGTCCAGCACAAATAACACCCCTTTTTATTGCAAAATCTTTTATTACAAATCATAAGCATGTAATTCTGTAACATAACAACATCACACGCAAACATACCATATGACATTTTAGGTGAATTGTTCAAATTGTTGTCCATCTCGTGCAAGACA